TAGTACATTAATAACGTCGGATCTCTAAGTTAGTAGTATGATAAAATTCTACCATGAATACATCTCGGTAGCTGTCACAAAGTAATTCGCTGTTCATTGTTTAAATAAATTAACTAAAAAAAATCTTCGATCATTGATAAACGCTACATAGCAGCGTAAATTCAGCAACAGACATGAAGAAATGTCTGAAAAAACCGAAGAGTTTAACAAAGAGAGAGAAAAAGTATACTTGAAAAGAAAAATTGGGCAGAGCACGTTGCACATCATTTGAATTATTTGTTTCTGTGCATCTCCTTTTGTCTCTTTTGGTTGTCACTGAGCACTTTCGTCTTTAGATGTTCCTTGTAGTCTAATATATTTCCACTCCATTTCGTGACTGTACCATTTTCACAGACCCAAATTTCTTCCGCCACCTAATAAAATAAAAAGATATTGTACAATCGAATCGACGAATTACATATTGTAATAAAGTCGGTATATACCTGATTGATTAGTCTGAAATCGTGAGACACGAGCACCATTCCACCATCAAAATCATTAATTGCATCAGCCAATGCGTCAATTGTTTCCATATCTAAGTGATTGGTCGGTTCATCAAGCAATAATAGATGAGGCACTTGCCAAGCTAACCATGCAAAGACTACTCTACAACGTTGACCATCGGACAATTGTCTTATCGGGCACACCTGTGTGCACAATAAAAAAAAAAAGATTATTTTCTGAGATCTAATATTGTATGTATCTTTAAACTTTTTGAAAATAATTATACCTGTTGACGACCGGTTAATCCGTAACGACCAATAATTTTCCTCATTTCTTCTCTTTCCTTAACATCTGGAAAGGCTTTCATCATACAATCCAAAGGTGACATATCTAAATCCAATAATTCGTGTAAATGTTGGTGATATCTCCCAATTCGAAGATGACTGTTCTTACGTATCATACCACTTGTTGGAACTAACTATAATCGTATAATAATTAACACAATTATTTAAAGATGTCGTTTTTGCCTGTATATAAATGATAAACAATAGAGACTTACATCGCCATACAGTAATTTTAAAAGGGTACTTTTTCCAGCTCCATTTGGACCCACTAATGCAATTCTGGTGTCTAAATCTATACCAAATTCTAGGTTTTTATAAATCCAAGGTGAATCTTCGTTGTAACGAAAACTAACGTTCTGAACCATTATAACAGGGGGTGGAATAGTCCCGCAAGAGGGAAAATAAAAGTTCAGTACTTTGTCATTGACTACTTTTTCCGTGAGGCCTTGTGCTACCATTTTCGCCAGTGTTTTTTCTTTAGATTGTGCCTGTCTTGCAAGTTTTGCAGAACCGTGTCCAAATCGAGCTATATAATTCTTCATGTGTGCAATTTGATCCTGTTCCCAGTTATACTGCTTCACTTGATTCTCCAATAATTCCATTCTGTCACAAAGAATTTGTGTTAACATCCTCCATTGTGTTATTCACTTTTAGAAATTAAACTTTTATTTTCAACTTACCTTGTCTTCACAAAGGCTTCGTAATTACCACTGTAATATTTCAATTGCTTTTTATTGACATGTATGATATTTGTACAAATACCATTGAGGAAATCTTGCGAGTGAGAAATAATAACTAGAATTCTCTTGTATGTTTTCAATTCTTCTTCTAACCACACACAAGCGTCGAGATCTAAATGATTAGTAGGTTCATCCAGTAATAACAGATGAGGTTTCACATATAAAGCTCTGTAATAAAAAAAAAAAGATAACATTTTTAGCAGATCGTTATATATGTGTACAAATTCCTGTATTTACAGACAATTAAGCTGCCAACCTTGCAAGAGCAATTCTCATACGCCAACCCCCTGAAAAATCTTTGGTAGGTGTATTTTGCATTTTTGCAGTGAAACCCAAACCATGTAAAATATGAGCAGCACGAGCTTCTGCCGTATCAGCAGACATATCTTCTAACCTTTCATAGACGTCCATGAGTTGTTCCTAAATTTTACACAAAGTCTGATGTGTTAGCAGAAAGTGTTATTAAAAAAACAAGGTAAAACATTGCAAAAGTTAGAAGCATACTTGAGCATCTTCTTCCTCACATTCGACTAACTCCTCTGCCAATTTTTCTAATCGTATACGCTCTTCATCTACCTCCATCACACATTCTAAAGCTGTTTTATTGCTAGCAGGCATTTCCCTGGTCAAATGGAAGATATCGATCTGATCGGGAATAGGAACTTCTCGGTTTCCAAGTACAGCTAATAGAGTAGATTTCCCAGAGCCATTAAGCCCAAGCAAGCCATAACGTCTGCCGCAGTTCAATTCCAACATGGTATCCTGCAGCAATTCACAGCCATGGAAAGTAATAGAAAAATTAGATATCTTTATGTCGCGACTTCGTGGGTGGGAAGCCAATGATCCTGTGCACGAGCGTGCCTCTGCATTTAGCCTGGCATCTGCCTCCAGTTTTATACACAGTGCCTCTGTAATAAGACCAGTTAGACCGTCTTAATCATTCTTTCACCTCTCACAGATAGTTTTTGATTTTACCTTCGGCACTGATAGGCGTCCCATTGATTCCGTTTTGAATGACACCCACTCCAGGACTGGATTCTTTGCCATCCTCCGCAGTCTTGTTCTGGTTACCCTGGAGTGGCTTTTTCCCCGACTGACGGGCCTTGGCTGCTTCCTTCTTTTTCTGCTGTTGTTTCTTTTTCGCGTCGGACGGCATGATTTTCGTCTGAAATTCAATCGAACGCTTGGAGCGTCGTTCCAACGTGGACCGAGTTAAGCGTTATGTAAGCCAGAGGTTAGGAACACGATCACACGTGCGTTAGGAACACGAACACATGGCCGGTGCGGGGTATTGATAAATTCGAATATTCAAAAATTTCCATTGCCGTAAACGGCTCGTTACACGAGCCAACCAACGAGTGCGACAGAGAGACGGGGCACAAAGAAGAAGGCGACAAAGTAGGGGGCGATGGGAAAAGAACGAGAAAGACAGAGATAGAGGACTTGGAATACGGAAACCGTGGTTTTTACTGCATTTCGTGAATCCTCCTCGAGCACGTCGATTTCAAGTTAATCTCGATTAAAAGTAACCGATGTGCAATCAAACTAGAAAACGATTATTAACGGGAAAGGAAGAGGTGATAGGGAGAAAAGAGAAACGAAGCACCTCCGACTAAGCAAAAAGAAACTTTGATTATTCTGCGACACTGACCGATGCTAAAGATACCTAGAAGATACTTATAAATCACTCGATAGAACGCTTGAAATAGGTTATAGCAGTGTAATGATTTTATAGTAGGTTCGAGATATATTACCTAGTTGTGCGCCAAGAACGATCCGTGCAATACGCAAACACACGTGCATGGATAAAGGCAAAGCCGTCAAAGCAACATCATTCGTCGGATCGTTCAGCAGATGGCAGTGTTAGGTTATGGAATATTTTCCCGTTTTATTTTACCGCAGGACGAGAAATTTATTGAAAAGGATCGAAAAGCCTATATCCCTCATTATTTCATTAGGAAGCTGTTAAATTTTCATTCGATTTTGTTCACACAGCATTCGAAGTTTATTACGAAGATCAGATTAAGTTAAGTCTGAATTAAACTTCGACAGATTTACTTAAACGTGTTTGAACAGAGTAGAAACTTAACGCAATCATTTCGGTAAATTTTGAACATTAAGCAGATTAAGCTAAATTGAATTTCGGATGTCGTTCGTTAGTCTCGAAAAAGACACGAGATCTTTAAAAAAGAAATCTAACAAATTCAAGACTGTAAAAAGTTGCGGATATCGAGTTGTGTTCAGATTTTGATTCAAATTTTCGCGGTACTGGAAACTCGAGTTACTTCAAAATGGAGATTCAAATGCGTTAGTTATCGTATTGCGCGCGATTTTGAAGGTTCGTATAACTGTTTCGTGAAAGATGAGAAAGTTTACGTGATTGAAAAAAGAACAACTTTTACAAAGTGTTGGAAAATTTGCTATAGAGAATATTTTATGAGAAAGTTTTGAATTCTGAAGGAAGAAAAAAGGCAGAGCCTGGTCGATAAAATTGCCAGCACAGAGAATAAAGAAATCTTCTCTCAGTACGTAGAAATTTATTTATTTATAAATAAATGTTTAAATTGATTGTTAATAAATGAATCTGTGAGCGCGTGTATTTGCTTGAAGTATATATTACGTCAAATAATAAGAGTAAGTTGAACATAAAGTTTGAGGTTAGACGGTGAAAAATTACGGTGATATTTTATGAGACGCGAAAAATTTATTTCAATCGATACGATTCATAGTTATTTATAAATAATACATGCCACAAATTAAAAAAATATATCCAACATATTAATGGTTTTTCCGATTTTTAAATCGATCACGCCGACAAGTCGTGTTTAAATTGTAATAAAAGGTAATTATTAACGGCCATTATCAAGCGCTATTGAAATCGATTGCTTACGATTGTCGAATATGAATTTGACTTTTTGTACTTTTGCGATTTCTAGACAAACATGATAGTCTGGCAATCTCTCGTTGGTCGAACCAGGACCGTTTCGGCGATTTTCAATGAAGCAAGATCATACGAAGTTGAATAAGCCGGATAAGCGTACGAGCGTGGTGAAAAAGAATCGACGTGGTTACGCGGTTCGAACGGTGGCGAGAGCCGGTTAAAGAAGTGTGTTCTGATGAATGAATGAATGGATAAATGTCAGAGCGGCGGTAGGGGCGGTAAAAGAAGAGACGGACTTGCGCCCCTGCGAAGTCCGAAGTCCGCTGGAGGGGGCCAAGAGAACGTAGGATGTAGAAGGGTGAGGGGTCGTTGGCTTAATTGCACCGCATCACAGAACGTAGTATTTCGTAGTACGTGATGGTGGGGGTGTAACGCGCCCTCGTCCTCGTCGACGGCGTCGTCGTCGGCGTCGTCGCCGGCGTCGTTGTTCGTATGTAAGCTGCACGCTCGTCTGGATCGACGTATGCGTGCATCAGGGCCGCAGCTATCCAAGGGGCGGCTACTTCAATTTCTTCTAACCTTCAATTTTGAAGCGAACTTTATCTCCTTTCCCCCCTCCATTTTTACTTTCGTATTGGCGATTTTCATTTCTCGATACAAATCACAGAGGAGACATCAAGCTTGAACGATCAAGTTACAATCACTTGTAATCCAGACAGTGTAAGTCGAGGGTTATAATGATATTTTATTACAGTAGAATCGATTGTGACGTTTACAATGATTGATTCTCGATGATGCAAATATGTTGCAGGCAACAGATGTAGATGTGGCGAGAACTTTCGTGGGAAAATAACACAGGTTATATCGAGACTTTCTATTGTGATAAATAATCATTATATTATTCTTTGCTCAGATTGAAAGAAAAAAAGGAAAGAAAACCTTTAAAATATGCTGCAATTATAGAAAAGTATATCTTAGATGAAAATCCAAAAATTTCATCAAATTCCAGAAGATGTTCAGAATCCTTATATTTTATTAGAAACTCCATGTGTAGAATCTCGAGAGATTCAAATATATTACGTCGAATAAATTATTAACAAGTAAATTGAAAATTCGTATAATTCAGGATGAAGAGGAGTATTGGTACGGTCCTGGCCGCTTGTGTGCGTGACGTGGAAAGCACACGCGAGCACACGCTCACACTGCTCGCGTGTCAACTACCGTAACCCTCGAGTACATCAGAGGTTTCACGGTGGACGGGGTCGCGGCTGAAAGGAAGGGGCTGAAAAAAGGTGTGAATGCCGGATGGCATTCATTCAAATGCCGTCCAATCACAGCATCGTACTCCAGGTCGAGTAGCAGGGCCGGCATACATCGGGAATTATTAAGTCCTCGCGAGTTTCTGTTGCGTTAACGAGCCGGATTAATTGAAACTGAGTAGAAAAACCGTCTGCAAGATAAATTGGATATTATTCTGTATTAATTATTACTTCTTGCACTGTGAACTTCACTAAACCGAACAGTTTAGCTTGGTAAAGTTTAAACTTAAAATATATGAAGAAGAAAAAAATTAAAAATTAGAGTCTTGATCTAAGAAAAAAAAAAAAAAAATGGAAAAGAAGATGAAAGAATTCGAAATGTAAAGAGATTAATGTGTTCGATTTAATTGTTATCTGGTACAGTGCCACTTCAGCTGATAAAATTAAGAAATTTCTCGGGGAGTGGAGTTTTATAAAATTATCAAAATTAATGTTAAACGTATCGGTCTTAATCTGCCTCGTTAAAAGAGCAATCCACTTTAATAGTAAATGAATACTTTAGTAATGAATGAAATGGAGAAACCGGTCAACTAAATTTGTCACGTAAAAATATTCATTGCCAAAATATCTTAGTTATAATTATAATTTTAATTTAAAACTTCAACGAACGTTATTTAATGAATATCAATTGGGTGACTCGCGTATATCTTTAATTTTCACCTTTCTTCTTTTCTTCAATTCAACTCTTGCCCAAGTTACTGTCATTGAACTTACGACAAAAAAAAGTTTTCCAATTAGATTAAATGTGTCTATAACTGATAAAGCTGCGAATATTTCTTTTAGATTTCAACGTTTCTGGAGTTAGAGAAGCTCTTGAAATTTATGAGTTTAGCAGAGAGGATCCGGCTCGAATCAACGAGGCAACGTCTTTCTGCCCGAGTGTTTTTGACACGAGGCGGTCTCTCCAATCGATCCAGTTAGAATAGCCGGACCGGAAGTGGAACGTTTAGGCTCGATGGGAATGACAACGAAGAGAGAGCGACTCAACTTTGGATCACGACCGGGGCCCTCTCGCTGTGAATCACTCGAACGAATTTCCTCGATAAGATAGCCAACCCCTTCCCTCTATGCGAGAATTACTTTCATCCAACGGGAGGAGAAGCGATTCTTCTACTTAAGAATTAATTGAAAGGGAAACGAATCGTCGACGTTGATCGAACGAGGATCTAGAAGGCATCAGGCTTCTTTCATGGACCATCCTCCTGTTTCATCCTTGTTGATAAGTTATTAAATTGACGAAGAATACTATCAAGAGCAAAATTGATGTTATAATTTAGGTAAATTCACTCGCAATTATTTATTCTTAATTTGTTACAGTGGGTAGAATTATAAAGGTATTTACAATTATGTATTACCTTCACAATATCACTGTTATCACGATTCAACTGAGTCGTCAGAAGAAACATTCTTGGAAAGATGTAACTAATTCTTTGAGAAAAATTGAATAGTGCTTAATTTCTTGTTTGATTCTGCGATACCACAACTGTGAAGGATTTTTGTTAATAGTTAGAAACTACAGAATGTTTGAATATCAAGTCGGAGGATTAAACTTCTTACTAATCACCATCGTTTTATAGATCGCTGTTTTAAAGAAATTAGTGCTTCCCGAGACTCTTAATCACGTCATTTAGTGAATTCGCCGAGAAATTAAATCTCGTTGAGTAACTAAAAACTAGAAGTGATTTAATGGTGAGAGAAGGAGCATCGAAAAAGTGGTAGGATTATTTGTAAAATCATATACAACTTTGAAAGCACAGATCCGTCACATCCTTCTGGATCTTGAGGCGAACGAATGCCCAACACATTCATCAGGAAGCTGAAATTATGACCTAGACGCTATTACCAATTTATAGGCAACGAATTTAAGAAGCATGCGTTGGGATTAATTCAATTTTAGGTTTGTGTCTTTCTGCGAGGGAGAAGTATAAATACGTTGTGTGGTGTTAGAGTTTGTAAAATCGACATAATTTTTGCGTGTAAAATTTAAGATTATGATCGCCTTAGGTACAACGTTATTTATGTGGGTATCAAAAGATAGTGTTATGTAAACGCCAAGTTCACAAGCACCCATCACGAATGCCAGACATTCATCGCCCAAGATACAAAGGAGCAGGATCTCTGTTTCTAGAAAACCTCAGGACTTGGCACTTCTCAGTGTTAAATTCCATCCCATTTCGTGTATCCCATGCAAAATAGATTGTTTAGGCCAGCTCAAAGTTTCAGGCAATCAGTCGAGGATGAAATGGAATGATATATTTTGAGGTGATCTGCTTACAATGAAAAATCCGAATGGTGGACAATGAAGAACTAAACGGCTTTTCCCAAAGATAAAAATAATTCATTCCTACAGAGAAATTGCAATTTAATTTAATCATCAAGTATTAAACAGAGTAGTAAAAGATTAATATTCTATAATAGTAATAGTAGGATATATAGGATGAAATATTGATAGAAGATGAATTCCACAGTAAATAGAATTTATTATTTTTAGGTGGATAATTCACGGTTGGATGTAGTCAGAGGCGTCAATGAAACAGGTATCAAGGCTGGATTTCGTTTCACGTTTAGGTTACCCGGCGTCTAACAGTTGAAACAGATACACTCCGAGCTGAAAGACAAGTAACTTTCATCGATCTTGTTCGGT